GGGATTCAGCAAAAGCCCATGTCTCAAAGAAATAAAAAAATTGTTCTGACAAGATATACAGCACACACTTTACGAAGGGCCTTATCTATGTAATATTTTTTTGTCAGTGGAAAGATGATGCCATTTCTAACCTTGGTTTACAAGGGACCAGAAAGAAATTTGTAAACGCCAGAAATCAATGGAAATAATAATAATAATAATAATAATAATAGTAATACATGAACATTACGAGAATTTAATGTATTCTTCAGACTAACAGATCTTCTGCCAAAAAGCGCTGATTTTATCATTTCGAAAACGCAAATGCTATCACTTCTCTGTTAGATTAAGTCAAACATAATTCTCCCTTTTCAGAAACAAATTTCAAATGACGAATGTATAGTGGATTGACAAGGATAAATCTCCATAACCGATATCAAAAGCTGAAGAAAGCGAAAATTGTTTCTATGATGGGACTATTTGGGTATGAAATGAAACACTAAATGCACATATATACATCCAGCAGATGCAATCTGTCCATAAAAGATTATTCACAAAGTACCGTGCTCTCGCCCAAAGGGAAGAAAGCATCTTTCCTGATGATGCAAGGCCGCCTATAGCAAGAATAATACGGGAAATTGTTGTGGAATTTGGTCAGTTTGTTCACATATGATTGTGACTCTCTTTCCATTTTAGCATGATATCAAAATTAAAGTCTAATAATATGTAGAGAGATTTTTCTTAAGCTATGAATACGGAATCTTTGTTATCTAATACAGAATGTCCAGGAATTTTAATGGAATCGTGCAATATTTAAAGAAAAACTGACATAATTTTATTTTTATTACTCAATTATGATACAAAACAAATAGATTTATAAATGTTATGTGAAAACTTCATTGAAAATTATCGACATATATTCCGTCTATATCCCTGTAAATTTCAGATCCTTCTTAAGTCTTGTGAAACACATTTTGAAGCATTTCAGGAGTTATCTCCTCCTGCATTGTTACCTGAATGCGTCCATTAAGCTTAGCTAATTGATACTTTGCCAATAATCATTTGTTTTTCTGAAACCCTGTGCAAAAAAATCAAGTGCGTTGGCGGCAAAAATACCTTCCTGTGTATTCCTTATTAATACGGTCCTGAAAATGGAATGAAAATTATGAAAAAAATATAAAAAAAATGACAAAATTAGAAATGTATGCACTTAACATATATTAAACGCGATGAACAGAAATAAAAGAGTAAAAAAACTGTCTGTTTTCATTGATTTCCGAGTTAATTCTGGAACCTTAGACACGAAATAGCTCAATTCCGGGATCATTTTTATTATTTTAATGAATTATTTTTTTTATTTATTTAATATATATATATATATATATATATATAATATATATATATATATATGTGTGTGTGTGTGTGTGTGTGTACAACGAACGCATGGCCACTATTTTCGACGGATTTGAACCAAAATTTACATGCACATGCTCCAAGTTAGCGGATAGGCCAAGACCGACTTTGTATTTCCCAACTCCCATCGATGGTGGAAATAATCGATTTTTTCATGCTTCTACGGCAGTTTTCATGTAGTTTGCGGCCATTTTGTACTGGCCAGAGTGAGAGCCAATAGCTGGCTGCCACGAATAGGCAGGAAGATTCTATTGGCCAGCGTGAGAGCCAACAGCTGATTGACACGAACGTTAACTAGCATGCTAGCATGCAAAAAGAAATCGATAGTTGCATTCGTCACAAGTGGGAAAAATTTAAATCTGCATGGCACTTTACTCCAATTGGCTCATTCGCTTGTTTAAACTCAACGTTGATTCTGATTCCGCAGAACTGGGTTGGGTGTGAAAAAGTATTTGTTGTTAACATTCTTTTTTCATTCGATTTTTCCAGTTACGTGTCCTTATTTCTAAAGTTGATCGTTTTGTGTTCATTTTGTTTAGTTCTTTTTTTCGTAACAGATTTAATGTTTAGTATAGATCTTAGAAAAATTTGAAGTGTGAGATAGGCAAGAAGTAAGGCATGTAGCAACATCAGCACGGCAAAGGGCACTCATTTAAAGGCAAGGAAGGGCAAAAATATTTTAAGTTTAGTGATAGCGATTGCTGTATGAGTCGTACGATTTTTGAATCAAGCACGGGCAACGCCGGGCCATGATGCTAGTAGATATAAAAAATATTGCTTAAAAAACTTTATAAAATATTCAACAAAATCTCCGTCTGTAATGTAACAAATTTCAAATCTATCTTTAGCGTTGAAAATTTCAAGAATTATCTCCTGCACTGCGAACTGAATGCAAAACTATTGATGCTTTGGCAGTAAACTTTTGTTTTTATGAAACTCCATTGAAAGAAATCCAGGGAACTTAACAGGATTTATTAATAGTGTTCCGAGAGGGAATGAAAATAAAATTAAAAAAAAGTAAGTTATAAACAAAATTAGAAATTTATACATTTTTAACATATATAAAACATGATAAACAGAAAGAAAAGATTTTAAAAATATCCGGTTTCACTGAAATAGTTAATTCTGAGACACCGTATATATCGAAATATCGTGTATTTGTTATATTTGTCGTGTAATGAATGCAATTTAACAAAAAATATCTTTTAAGAAGCGTAGTATTAAAAGAATTAATTAATTAAACGGTTCTTTGGAAGCGATTCTAGTTTCGAATTCAGGAGCTGTGGTAGATTCACTCACATCAGAGCAGCAGAAATTAGCATCGTGTTCACAGAGATAAACACATACGTGACAGTAAATAAAACGTACACAAATACAGGAAAGCATGTTAAATTGTATATTAAAAATTTAATTTATATAATTTTTGTGTATTTTATATAAAATCGGTTTAACAATTGTTTTCATGGTGTATTGATAACGGGGAAAAATTTAATTAAGTTATTACAAGCCATATAAAAGAGAATTTGGACACGTTTTTGTTCGTACCAAGGCAAATTCAGTGAAGAGACTGAATTTAAATTTGAATTTATTTTTGATCTTATTATTTCCAGCAGGAACAGTTTTTCTTACATTTTTATAAATTTTTATTATTTTTAATTTTATTTAATTTATTTTATATAAACGTTTTTATGTTATGGATTTTTTTATTTTTATTTATAATAATAATAATAATAATAATAATAATAATAATAATATTATATAGATCACAGATTTATTCGAATTTTAATAGCTTGTTTCAAAATCTTTGTTTACTTGCATCACAAAATTAATATATTCAGATATTTGCTGTGATTTTTGGCGGTAAGGGTATACTACTACTACTAGTACTACTAATAATAATGATTAGAAGAAGAAGAAGAAGAAGAAGAAGAAGAAGGGCGGAGGAGAAGAAGAATAGGAGCGGGAGAAAAAGAATGATGTTGACGAAGGGGGGAGTAAAAAGGAAGAGCAAATGGAGAGATAGAATAGTGGAGAGAATGAATAAAAAGAAAAGAAAAAATATTTAAAAAAAAAAAAAGCAGGAAGTGGGTGGAATGCGGGGGGAGATATTAAACCAAAGAATAATGATGATGAGAAGAAGAAGAAAAGGATGAAGAGAAGAAGAAGAAGAAGAAGAAGGAGAAGAAGAAGAAGAAGGAGAAGAAGAAAGAAGAAGAAGAAGAAGAAGAAGGAGAAGAAGAAGAAGAAGAAGAAGAAGAAGAAGAAGAAGAAGGAGAAGAAATGGAACAGAAGAGAAAGAATGATGTTGACGAAGGGGAGTAAAAAGGAAGAGTAGTTGGAGAGGTAAAATGGCGGAGAGAAAGAATAAAAAGAAAAATAGAATAAGAAGCAGGAGTGGGTGGAGGCCGGGGAGGTGAAGGAGTAGAATAATAATGATGATGAGAAAAGAAGAAAAAGATGAAGAGAAGAAGAAGAAAAGGATGATGAGAAGAAGAAGAAAAGGATGAAGAGAAGAAGAAGAAAAGGATGATGAGAAGAAGAAGAAAAGGATGATGAGAAGAAAAAGAAAAGGATGAAGAGAAGAAAAGAAAAGGATGAAGAGAAGAAGAAGAAAAAAAAGGATGAAGAGAAGAAGAAAAGGATGAAGAGAAGAAGAAAAGGATGAAGAGAAGAAGAAGAAAAGGATGAAGAGAAGAAGAAGAAAAAAAGAATGAAGAGAAGAAAAAAAGGATTTTAAAAAAAAAGGATGAAGAGAAGAAGAAGAAAAGGATGAAGAAAGAAGAAAAGAAAAAGAAAAAAGAAGAAAAGATGAAAAGAAGATAGAAGAAGAAGGATGAAGAGGAAGAAGAAGAAAAGAAGATGAAGAGAAGAAGAAAAAGAAAAAAGATGAAGAGAAGAAAAAAAGAAGAAAAGGAAGAAGAGAAGAAGAAAGAAGAAAAAAGGAGAAAGAGAAGAAAAAAGGATGATGAGAAGAAGAAGAAAAAGAAAAAAAAAAGGATGAAAAGGATGAAAAGAAGAAGAAGAAATTGAAAGAAGAAGAAAAGAAAAAAGGATGAAGAAGAAGAAAAAGAAAAGGATGAAGAAAGAAAAGAAAAGGATGATGAAGAAGAAAAAAAAAGAAAAAGAAGATTGAAGAAGAAGAAGATTAAGAGAAGAAGAAAAAAATGAATAAAGAAGAAGAAAAGAAGAAAAAAGAAGAAGAAGATGAGGATGAAAAAAGAAGAAAAAGATGAAAATGAAGAAAGAAGAAGAAGAAGAAAAGATAAAAGAAATGAGAAGAAGAAGAAAAAATCTTTCAAGAAAAAGAAGAAAAAAAAAATGAAGAGGAAGAAGAAAAGAAAATGAAGAAAAAAAAAAGAAAAGGAAGAAAGAAAAGAAAAAGAAAAGGATGAAGAGAAGAAGAAAAAAAAATGATGAGAAAAGAAGAAAAAGAAGAAGAAGAAGAAGAAGAAGAAAAGATGGAAGATGGAGAAGAAGAAGAAAAAGAAAAGAGAAGAAGAAGAATAAAAAGGAAGAAGAAGAAGAAAAGAAAAAGGATGAAAAGAAGAAGAAGAAAAAAAAAAAGAAGAAGAAAGAAAGGAAAAGAAGAAGAAGAAGAAAAAAGAAATTTAAGAAGAAAGAAGAAAGAAAAGAGAAGAAAGAAGAAAAGGAAGAAGAAGAAGAAGAAGAAAAGAAGAAGAAAAAGAAAAAGAAGAGAAAAAGAAGAAAAGAAGAAAAGAAGAAAGAAAGAAGAAGAAAAAGAATGAAGAAGAAGAAGAAAAGGAAAAAAGAAAGAAGAAGAAAAAAAAAGAAAAAGGAAAAAGAAGAAAAAAAAAGAAAAAAGAAGAAAAAAAAAAAGAATGAAGAAAAGAAGAAAAAGAAAAGGAAAAAAGAAAGAAGAAGAAAAAAAGAAAAAGGATGAAAGAAAAAAGAAGAAAAGGATGATGAAAGAAGAAGAAGAAAAGGATGAAGAAGAAAAAAAAAAAAAATGAAAAAGAAGAAGAAGAAAAAAGAAGAAAAGAAGAAAGAAAAGAAAAAAAAAAGAAGAAAAAGAAGAAAAGAAGAAAAAGAAGAAAAAAAGAAGAAAAAAAAGAAGAAAAAATGAAGAAAAAGAAGAAAGAAGAAAAAGAAAAAAAAAAAAAGAAGAAAAGAAGAAGAAAAAATGAAAAAAAAGAAGAAGAAAAAGGAAGAAGAGAAGAAAAAAAAAAGAAAAAAAGAAAAAGAAAAAAAGAAGAAAAGAAGAAAGAATGAAGAAAAGAAGAAGAAAAGAAGAAAAGAAGAAAAAGAAAAGAAGAAAAGAAGAAGAAGAAAAGGAAGAAAAAGAAGAAGAAAAAAGAAGAAGAAAAAGAAGAAGAAGAAGAATGAAAAGAAGAAGAAAAAAGAAGAAGAAAAGAAGAAAAGGAAAGAAGAAGAAGAAGAAGAAAAGAAAAAAGAAGAAGAAGAAGAAGAAGAAGATGAAGAAGAAAGAAGAAGAAAAAAAAGAAGAAAAAAAGAAGAAAAGAAGAAAAAAATGAAGAAAAAAAAAGAAGAAAAGGATGAAGAAAAAGAAGAAGAACTTGATGAAGAAAAGAAAAGAAAAGAAATGAAGAAGAAAAAGAAGGCAAAAGAAGAAAATGAAGAAAAAAGAAAAGGATGAAAAGAAGAAGAAAAAAAAAGAAAGATTGAAGAAAAAGAAAAAAAAGAAAGAAGAAGAAGAAAAAGAAAAGAAAAAAAAAAAGAAGAAAAAAGATGAAGAAAGAAAGAAGAAGAAAAAAAGAAGAAAAGAAAAAAAAAAGAAAAAGATGAAGAGAAGAAGAAAAAAAAAAAAAAGAAGAAAAGAAGAAGAAGAAAAGGATGAAGAAAAGAAGAAGAAAAGAAAAAAAAAGAAGAAGAAGAAGAAAAAGGATGAAAAAGAAGAAGAAAAAAAAGAAGAGAAGAAAAAAAGATGAAGAAAGAAGAAGAAGAAAAGGATGAAAAAAGAAGAAAGAAAAGAAAAGAAGATGAAAAAAAAAAGAAGAAAAGGAAGAAGAAGAAGAAGAAGAAAAGAAGAAAGAAGAAAAAAAAGAAAAAGAAGAAAAGAAGAAGAAGAAAAAAAAGGAAGATGAAAAAAAGAAGAAAAAGGATGAAGAAAAGAAGAAGAAAAGAATGAAAAAAGAAGAAGAAAAGGAAGAAGAAGAAAAGAAGAAGAAGAAAAGAAGAAGAAAAGGATGATGAAGAAGAAGAAGAAAAAGAAGATGAAGAAGAAGAAGAAAAAGGAAGAAGAAGAAGAAGAAAAGAAGAAAAGAAGAAAGAAAAGAAGAAAAAAAAAAAGATGAAGAAGAAAGAAGAAAAAAAAGAAGAAGAAGAAGAAAAAGAAGAAAAAAAAAAAAAAAGAAGAAAAAAAAGATGAAGAAAAGAAGAAAGAAAAGGATGAAAAGAAGAAGAAAAATGAAGAAGAAGAAAAAGAAGAAAGAAAAATTTTCATGAAAGGAAAAAGAAAAAGAAAAAAAGAGTGAAAGAAGGATGAAAGAAAACGAAAAAGAAAGTAAGAAAAAAATCAAAAAAAAAAAGAAAAAAATGAATGAATGGATGAAAAAAGAAAGAAAGAAAAAAGAAAGAAAATAAAAGAAAAAAAAAGAAGAAAAAAGAATGAAGAAGAAAAGAAAGAAGAAAAAAAGAAGGAAAAGAAGATAACTGAAGAAAAAAGAAAAAAAAAAAAAAAGAAAAGAAAAAAAAAAAAAAGAAAAAAAGAAAAAGAAAAAGGAAGAAATAGGATGAATGAACTGACAGTAAATTTGAAAATTTGGTGAAGAACAAAAGAAGAAACCAAAAAAAAAAAGAAGAATGAAGAAAAAGAAAAAAAATTGAATAAAGAAAGGAAAAAAAAAAGAAAAAAAAAAAAAAAGAAAAATGAAAAAAAAGAAAAAAAAAAAAAAAAAAGAGGATAAAAAAGAATAAAATGAACGAAATGAAAGAATAAAGAACAAAATAAATTGCAAAATAATTTTAAAAAAAGCAATTCTTCGTGTCAAAAAATATGAAGAAAAACAAAAATGAAATAAATATACGTTATTTGCTTACCAATAAAATGTAAATATGAAAAAAGATTATCTATTCAACACAGCTGAAAAAACAAAAAGATGAAATCAGGATAATAGATAAACTTTTGAGGATCAAACTTAAATTGAAATAAAGATTGGAGCCAAAAAACCTTGAACCACTATAGGCACCCACTTTAAAATAAGAATAGCTTCCTATATCGCAGTGAATGCCAGACAATTTTGTTTTGAAGGTTAAAAAGAAAATCTTGCAGCAACAACATACTGGTTTTACCAAATGAATATTGAGAAAACCATAGACAGAGCATGTGAGATACGAAAAAGTTCTTGGTTATAAAAAGGGCTAGAAAGAAAATCCTGTTAAAAAAAAGGGAAAGATGAAATTTGGAAAAAAAAGGAAAAAAAACGAAGGTTTGGAGAATTTTAAGACATACAAAAAACAACGAAAGAAAAAGAGAACAGAAGAAAATCAACAAGTTAAGAAAGTTTGATTAAATGGAAAAAAGTAACAAATATGATAAATAAAACTTATGTATTGCTGAAAGCAACAAAAAAAAAATGGTTGTTGTGGAGAGTGTGATTGACCCTGTTCTGAAGAGACATGTTAATAAAAAAAAATGAGAACATGCATGACAAGTTAAAAAAAAAAAGTGGATAAAAAAAGATATATATGACAAAGAGGATCATAAAGGGCAAATATTGAAAAAATAAAAATAGGAATGATAAAAAGCCGTGATTGAAAAGCAAAAACTGCTGAAAAAATTAAAAAAAGGAAAAAAAAATTGCGGTACATTTAATGATGTAAAATGAAAATATAAACGAAAAAAAAAGTTTTTAAGAAAAAAAAAGTTTAAAAACGAAAAAGATATTTTTAGAAAATCTAATGAAACCGTTTGAGAATAATTGTAGCCTGAATAAAAATTTACATGGGAGGAATTACTTATTGTAAATTCTAAAAACATGTTAGTTGAAAATTAATCCCCTTACGGCCAGAAGCTCAGGTTCTCGTGGATTAAAGAAAGATTGGATGGATGATCGTTTAGGAATACCAAAGCTGTAAAAAGATGGTTATTGGTATAATCCACAATAGTTCGGAAAATAAAAAAGATGAATTGAATAGTTTCAAAAAAGGGTTGGGTTGGGTTATATATATTACGTGCAAATACCCTTGGGAAAGGTTTGAACCCATGTCTACCCTCCAAATGTATTAATTAGAAATTTCCCTGAAAGTGAATTATTAAAAGAAAAAGAAAATCATTATAATCAAAAATATTTTCTCGCTTTAAAATAACCCGCAAAAGGTTGATAAGCCGTAAAAAAAATAATCTTAGTAAATAATCTCATGGTATTTGTATACTGATAATAATTTAACAAAAATTTCCTGGTCAAGGTATATAAACCTGAAACCTCTGTTTTCATAGCAGAAGGACGGCAGGAGAAGACGGAACAAAGAATAACAATCATTAAAATAATTATTTTTTAAAAATTTATAAAACCATATGAAAATGAATTTCTGAATGAAAAATAGTCTTTTGACAAATGAAATATTGATATTGCTACTAGAAGAATCACAGATTATCCAGAACTTCCAAAACATACTTTTCTCCAGACTGCGACCAATATCCGCCTTATTTGAAATTTTTTTGGCCGAATACAAAAAGATTATACTTGATTAAAAATTAAAAAGAAAATAAAAAATATATTATTTACAAAATAAAATCTTAAAAAAATAATTTTATTCCAAAATTTCCGATAAAATAAAATCTTACCACAGAAATGAAATTAACAACCAATATTGAACAAAACATATATTTATATCTATATAAATATTCTTATTTTTTAAAATAATTGTACTGTCTTAATAGCATTGATTGAATTAGTATCACGATCTATATGCATATTATGAAATTTTATTAAAGACATTAGTTCTACCAATAAATACTAACTAGTTCTAGCCCGTGAAATATTCCCAGCTTCTCACGCGATCAAAACGGAATAGTCCATTATTTATGACGTATTAACAAGAGACGTTTAACATTTCTATCTATCTATTTTTCTTTTTTTTTTTTTCACAGAAACCAAATAAGAAAACTTGTGGTATGTCAATTTTGAAAAAACGTTGAAAAAATTGAATATAAAATTATTCACCAAAAATTTCATTGACATAGCAGAAACATCTGAGAGAAACACCTCCATGAAAATTATCGAGAAATTATCGAAATTATCGAAATACAAGGACATGGAGATCGAGATTAATAGGATTTGGAGAATGAAGACTGGGACTGTACCAATAGTAATCGGTACTCTGGGTCTAGTGAGAAAAAGAATGGACAATTTTATTAACAGTATCCCAGGTAACATCAACATACAAGTTGCCCAGAAGATCGCCCTACTAGGAACATCCCATATACTAAGAAAAGTGCTATCAATTAAATGACGATTCTCCTATAGGACCTAAAGACCATAGTTTGGACTCGGCTCTACAGGATGCAAAGCAGGATACATAACATAAACAAATAATAATAATAATAATAATAATAATAATAATAATAATAATAATAATAATAATAATAAATTGTACTCAAAAGTACAGCTCACACCTTACGAAGAGCTTTATTTAAAATGTGTAAGATCTTAGGTTTTGTTTTTTTTACAAAAATTATCAGTGGAAGCAGGACGTAACGGTCGTGCGAGCTAAGGAACTAAGGACAGGAAGTACAAGATCAATTATTATATGATTCTAATGGTCATTCTCCGAAGCTCTTGACTGGGCATTTTTTCGACAGCTCAGGGAGAAAAGAACGACTGACCGTATTCCACTTAAAGATTTCAACAAAGTAAAGACAGCATCAATAAATAATAAAAAAAAACCCAAAAAAACAAAAAACAAACAGTCCTAACAATTGCTTGAATTCACTGCCGTTCAAGCTGTCAAAAATTTGCAATTAGATTAACACTTAATTTCTAAAGAGCTCTTCTCTAAGAGAACGCAAATGCATATCGTGACGATTCATTCTAGAAGAAAAGACGATTGATTTCGTTTCCGCAATTTTTAGTAATGTCTTTAGCGCTTTTGTTTGTTCTCCAATTTTAAATTCAATTATTCAAAGCTTCGTCTGTTTGTCTTCAGCGATTAATTCGAATCAACATCGATGTTTAATTGACATTTAAGATTTCTTTCTTCGCACGGCATCCGTAATTTTTTACAGTTTTATGCAACAAGTACTTGTAGCATGGACATTGATTTCCTTATTGCATAAAATAAATTAAATCCCTTGTCATGGTTCAGATGTTCTTTAATCTGATAAGCAGTCGTTCTTTAAAGAAACTTTTTTAATACAACATGTAATGTTATTTTATATATAAAATAAAAAAAACAAAAAAAAAATATAAATACGCAATTTTTATTCAAATCCAGACAATTACTTATCCAAACATTATTTATTTATTTTAATCACATTTTTTTTTTTTTTTTTTTCAGTATATTTTTTTTATATATATATATATATATATATATATATATATATATATATATATATATATATATATATATATATAATTTGTGTGAAAAATTATGGACATAGATAAGAGTAAGAATTAATTAAAAAAGAATAAAAAATTTTAAAATTTAAAAATTTCAGTTAGGATTTTGAATAATTTTTTATGAAAATGAATTCAACAAATTAACGATTAATAGAGAATTCTTTATTAAAAAAGATTTATTCAATTAACGCCAAATATCTAAATTAGTCGTCTCTTTCCTGGTTAATTATTTTGATCAACCAGTTTTTAAAGTCTACACTGAGAAGAGATGTGAAAATGATGGCCTTTTGTTTTGGTGGATAATAATTTCAAAATGGGCAAGGGACAAAAATAATTCCAGATTTTTAACGTTATTGCAAGTATTTGATCTATCTGGTGCATTTTTTTTTTTGACCCCCTGAAACCTCTGCCCAAAATCGCGGTGTGAATCTGCACCTGGCAATAGGTAATCTCACAGGTCAATGCGACGAAACATTGACTTTCTGGTGTTTTTCAATGAAAACGCTATTTTACTGTCATCTGAGTTGAATCATCTACTACATTAGGAACTTAGTGAAGAACGAAATCATTAGTGTAAAATAAACTCTTTAAGTGCGAACAGATCTATCTATCTATCTATCTATCTATCTATCTATCTATCTATCTATCTATTTTAGGAAAGGTGAAATCTTGAGAAAGTTCATGAGCTCTCAGCACGAAAACTGGAATAATCTAATTAAACGATATAGTAACTATATATAATAAATAAATGATAATAATAGTAACTGTATATAATAAGTAAATAATATATATATATATATATATATATATATATATATATATATATTAATAGTGTAACAAAAAATATATATATATATATATATGTACAAAAGAATCCATGTTTTAATTTCCTTAAATACCAAAAGGTTTTAATACAGATGTAAATAAAACAAACAGAATGAAACACAATCAACAAAGTCATTAGGAGGTGATAAGAAAGGGTAATTAATTTGATTTATAATATCCACTTATTCTCAGAGAAAAGGCATTTTCCCCCACAAACAACATCATTTTCTCTTTCTTTCATTTTAAACTAAGGAAGCCAAAAAAGAAGCACGCTTCTCCAGTGAAATGCATCTTTAATAAAATTTTCAACTTTTGTGAAATTGTCTTCAGATAATTAAAGATAAAAATATTTTAGTGAATTATAAATTCTTTATTTTTACTTATTGAATAAAATTAAAAAGAATAAATTATTATGTTGCGACTTCTTTTCCATATTTAATCCACAATTTGATCCTAATACATATATATATATATATATATATATATATATATATATATATAATAGGTCAAACTTTTGTGGTCTAATTGTTAGAAAGATTGGAAAATGTCCTAGAAAAAACGACTGAGTCCTTTGTTCTATACACACTGGGTGCTCCATATTCATTTTGTGCAACATCTAAAAAATGAAAAATTAAAGAAAATCTTATATATATATATATATATATATATATATATATATATATATAATTCACTGGAAAACAGTTGAGGGTAAGGAAAAAGATGATTTGGATTGATGTGGTTTAAAATTGTCTGACATAGCCATATATAAAATTTTCTCCTTTTTAAAATTGATCTTAAAGAGTAAAGATTTGAAAAATTCATAGTATATAATTAAAAAAAGCCATCTTCTAGAACCCAGGGCATTAAAACCTTCTCAAATATTTTATGTAGGCCTCTGTGTTGATTCCCCAGACTTAACCAACAAATTCAGGTGTTTTATCTTATTAGAACAATGAGAGTGAAACAATATATGATAGTCATATATATAAGAATGATTATATACTCATCATTTCATGTCTGTACTGTCCTCAGATTGAGGATGAAAAAATCTGAAAAAGTTTGAACTGAGCACTTATTGCAAATGCCAAACAGTATTTATTTTCATAAAAGAATTTCTATATTGAATTGCAGCATGATGTTAATGGCCTAACAGCCAATGTCAAACTGACTGAACTATGCTGTGCAGTCGACAAAATAAAAAAAAAAACATACATGCTGAAAAATAAAAATACATTTTGGCGACAATCGCATCTTTACATATATATATATATATATATATATATATATATATATATATATATAATAGTATTATAAAAATTGTTCATATGTCTTGAGTCCTTAGTCCCTAAAAAAAAAATCATGAATTTAAAAACTAAAACGTAATAATAATACGCCATATTAGCGGTACAAACAACATTTAAAATCATTTTTTCATAAGACACATCAGATTAAAATCAAAACAAATTAGGTTAAAAATTTTGAATATATGATTTTATAACATATTATATGTTATAATTTTAAATAAATAATTATATTCGCTAAATTTTTTTTAATATTTTAAATAGTTTTTAAGAATTGAAATTGTTGGTTTTTAAATTTATTTCATAGAATTTTTTTATATGCACAAAATCCTTTAAAAAAAAAAATAAAATAAAAAAATAAATAAATCTCCATAGACAAGCATACCAGACTAGAGTTAAACATCTTCCGTTTCAAATTTAGACACCCGGTATTTTCCCTGACTTGACATCTATGAAAGTAACTCTATACTGATACTTATTATTAACACCCAAACACACGCCTACCCAATTTAAACAATTCGCCCTAGCTGTTACCATGGAAATTTTGATTTCAATTATTAAAAACGTAAATTTCAGAAATACGTTATTCAAAAAAAATTTTTGAAGATGGAACAGAAATTTTCTTTAACTCAATTTAATTCAAATAATTATATTATAAGTTTTCGGCTCTTGTTTTGAAACATGAGACCTCTTATGTCGTGAGTTGGAATCATATTTTTAAATAAATAATTATATATATATATATATATATATATATATATATATATATATATATATATATATATATATATATCACTATTAGTGTAAATAGAAACACATACATATGCAAAATATATAGATATATATACATAAAATACATTATGTCTGAACACATTACATGTATATTATTTTTTGAAAAAAAAATTTGAGAGGATAGAATCCAATTTTAACTCAACATAGGACAAAAAGAAAAAGGATATAATAAAGAACTTAAACACTAATATTTAGATTTTTAGATTTTATATAATTTTTTTTATATATATATATATATATATATATATATATATATATATATATATATAAAAAATTAAGGAATTCAGAGCAGCATGAATCCATCCAGCTCAAATAACAACTTAAAAGAGACTGTTTGACCAACAAAGAACTGACCAAAATTCATGTTAAAACAAAAAAAAATGAAAACTACAACAAAAGTTCATTTT